GAGACCATGCTATGTATTGTTGTGGTGGTTCAGTTGAGGGTTTAACTGAGACCAGGCTGTAAGTGTTGAAGGGAATCAGCCAGGGAGTGCATCTGGAAGCGATGACTAATCTACCGAATAAAATCAGTAGAAATTGCAGATACACAACGGTGCCCTTCCTTTAAAAAAAAAAAACTGGCTGTTTCTAGAAACTATCACAATTGCAGTCAGCACTCCTGCTTTGCAGAATTTTTACCAGCAGAATTCACTGTGCCACAATCATAGTTACATTACATTTGACACAAACTTTTGGAAAATTGGATGCCTCCAAGGCTCACATCTTTGTCACTATACAGTAGGACCCTCTATCCATAGGGCAGAGGTCCCCAAACCCCAGTCCGCGGCCCGGTGCTGGTCCATGGCCTGAGCTGAACTGGTCCGTGGAGAAGACTTCCCGCCCCCGCTCATGCACTCACCCCCACACAGCTGATTTGCGCATGCTGCGTGCACCCCTTGTGAGCGCCGCACTGCTGTTTGTGCATGAGCATGAGTGAGTGAGCGTGCATAAGCGCCATGTCACTGTTTGTGTGCGTATGCGTGCTTATTTGCACTCACTCGTTCGCACATGCCCACAAGCTTGGAGGGTGCCCCGCCTTCTGCAGCCGGTCGGCGGGGTGAAAAAGGTTGGGGACCCCTATCTTAGAGGGAACCTTGGGTGGTCCTTTTCTTTGCTGGCTGGAAAGCTCAGGGCATCTGGAAGCGATGACTAATCTACCGAATAAAATCAGTAGAAATTGCAGATACACAACGGTGCCCTTCCTTTAAAAAAAAAAAACTGGCTGTTTCTAGAAACTTATCACAATTGCAGTCAGCACTCCTGCTTTGCAGAATTTTTACCAGCAGAATTCACTGTGCCACAATCATAGTTACATTACATTTGACACAAACTTTTGGAAAATTGGATGCCTCCAAGGCTCACATCTTTGTCACTATACAGTAGGACCCTCTATCCATTGGGCAGAGGTCCCCAAACCCCAGTCCGCGGCCCGGTGCTGGTCCATGGCCTGAGCTGAACTGGTCCGTGGAGAAGACTTCCTGCCCCCGCTCATGCACTCACCCCCACACAGCTGATTTGCGCATGCTGCGTGCACCCCTTGTGAGCACTGCACTGCTGTTTGTGCATGAGCATGAGTGAGCGAGCGTGCATAAGCGCCATGTCACTGTTTGTGTGCGTATGCATGCTCATTTGCACTCACTCGTTCGCACATGCCCACAAGCTTGGGGGGGTGCCCCACCTTCCGCAGCCGGTTGGCGGGGTGAAAAAGGTTGGGGACCCATATCTTAGAGGGAACCTTGGGTGGTCTTTTTCTTTGCTGGCTGGAAAACTCAGTGAGTTATTATTTCTGGCTGCCGAGCCAGAACCTGGGAGTTTGATTCCCTGCTGAGCCTCCAGGGAGAAGAGTCAGCCTGTGTGGCCTTGGGCAAGCTGCACAGTCCCAGAGCTGCCCCCAGAAGAAGGGAAGAGTGAATAACCTCGGGGTATCTTTTACCTAGAAAATCCTGAAAAGGTTCGCCATAAGTCAGAACTGACAACAGCACACAATTATTATTATCTGTTTGTTTTATTGAATGATGATTTATATTTTCTATTTGAAGCAGAATGCTTGGATCCCTGCAGAAAAGGGCAGATGAGTCACAAGCAAGAATATTTTCATCTTGCAGTGGACAGAAAGAGACTGGGTTGTTTATTTTATTG